TTTTTAAAAAATTTCTTTTTTTTTTTTTTTTATTCTGTGCTGTCTGTGTAAATTTTTCTGGGTTCTGTATTTAATGTTTAATACAAATGTATTATCAAAATGTTATCAAACCAATTAAACATATAATACTATTTAATATGTTTTCAGGAATTCAGTTTTTTTTTTTTTTAAATATATTCTGTGTTTTGTGATTTAATACAAATTTATTACATAAAAAACAATGGTAATCAAATTAATTCATAAAACTTTAACAATTTAATTAATCTTTTAAAATGTAATCAAATCAGGGTTATTATAGTTAACTAAAACCATAAAATATTACATTGCATAAAATAAGCATTAAAAATGTAAAAATTAAACATTTTTATTCCAGCTACTTGTGAAAGCAACATTTCTCATTTTCATTTAGTTTAATTTGATGTACTAAAACAACTTAAACTGAAACAAAAATTAACAAACTATAATAATTATGTTGCAATAAACTATAATTGCATATTTATGTGTCTGAGCTGACCTCCTCGCTGGATGTGGGTGTGTTTGTCAGGGCAGCTTCTGCTCCGCTCGGGGTTTCTGGGGCAGTTTGTGTTTGCTGGGGCAAAATCACAGTGATCATATCGCCAGAAACAACCCCACACGAGGAGAGCGTCTGTCCCGTGTCCAGCAGAACCGCCTTCCCGTTCAGAGACAGACTGAACTCCACATTAGATCTGAGCAGAGAGGGACAGACACACGAGAGCTGCTTCAGATGGGCAGAAATTAAAGTGTGAGCAACATGACTGAGCAATACTACAGATCAAAAAATCCAGCTACTAATACCACATATGTGTCCCTGCAGCACAAAAGCAGTCTTAAGTCGCTGGGGTATATTTGTAGCAATAGCCAACAATACATTGTATGGGTCAAAATGATCTATTTTTCTTTTATGCCAAAAATCATTAGGATATTAAGTAAAGATCATGTTCCATGAAGATATTTTGTAAACTTCCTACCATAAATATATCAAAACTTAATTTTTGATTAGTAATATGCATTGCTAAGAACTTCATTTGAACAACTTTAAAGATGATTTTCTCAATATTTAGATTTTTTTGCACCCTCAGATTCCAGATTTTCAAATAGTTGTATCTCAGCCAAATATTGTCCTATCCTAACAAACCATATATCTATGGAAAGCTTTATTCAGCTTTCAGATGATGCATAAATTTTGCATAAAGGTTTTGTACTCCATATTAGGGCTTTCTAAACACAGCATGGGCTGCTGACCATCAGTTATGTTGTGGCTATGATGAACACAACTAAAACACAGTCACACACACACACACACACACACACACTCACACAAGAGGAGCAGCAGCAGCATCTCAAACTCACCCCAGTCCGCACTGAGGCAGCAGGGCGTCTCTGACCCGGGCACTGAGCTCCGACAGGGTCGGTTCTGGTCCGTCCAGCTCCAGTCTGCGGGTCTGTTTGTCGATTCTCACCCTGAGCTTCATCCTGCAGCTGAATGAAAGCAGATCCGCTCACATTCACTTTCATTTCGCTTCGGAGCTAATCACGTGACATCCCGGACACTCCGCATAACACTTTACTTTGACTTAAACAGCAATAGTTCAGCGTTATTTACTGCATTTAGTTCAGCGTTATTAGGCCACAGCAAATTAATCAAGAAAAGCCTCTGCTGAATGTTTGTATTCAATAAAAAAGGAACAAAAACAAACGTACCTTTCACGCAAGTCAAAGTAGCGCAGTGAAGCCAAACAAACACAGCTAAGCGAGCTTTCCAAAATAAAAGTCCCGCAATTACGTCATAAATCTGACACGTTTATAGCTTAATATTATTTGTCAGTCAAATAATAAAAATGTATTGTATTTTATTAACTAGCAACTATTTAAAGGTGTTTAACTGTCGTAGGTCGGTACAGAGCAATTGTATTAATTAATTTAGGTGCATAATTGAAACATCAGTTTGTAATTATTTTGTCTTTGTCTTTATTAGGGTTGCTAATAAATAATGTAAATATAAAGACTTTTTGCAACCCTAGTCTTTATATTTACAACTCTTGGGTATATTTCTGTTAATTTTCTCTACATTAATTGCAATAACCGATTATTAAAATAATCTCGCTGGCCAGTACAATGACAATAAAGCGCTTGTAATATTGGACAAATTATGTATTCGTTACAGTGCTGCTTATACAATGCAATTCTATATTTGACCACAAGAGGGCAGTGAAAAGGCTGATGCGTTTTGTAACTGAATTTGTCCAACAGGCGGACACAAAAAAAAAACATCAGGATAAAGTCATTAAAATATCCCGACGGTTTTGGTTTTTTAGACATGTTTTCGCGCTATAAACGTAATTACTAATATTTAATAAAATAGCACTCGCCCTCTTCTGATGTAATGTGTGCGAACAGCAGGTGGCGCCGAAGATCCCGAGATATATCCGTATAAAGCAAGCGAAGAAGAAGAAGATCCGGAAACGCGTGTGAAGATAGTTTGCTGTCAACAGTGCGTCTGTTAATTCTATTTTAAAATGAGTCGCACTTATAACGATGAGCTTCAGTATCTAGATAAAATCCACAAAAACTGCTGGCGGATCAAGAAGGGCTTCGTGCCGAACATGCAGGTAAATCCGCCGCAAACGTGCTCGCTTTCGGGTGTGTTTCAGTGACGCATTAGCATTAATACACCCAAATATTCTAACACTACAGTCTCTGTGCTGATTAATAGTTGCTTCATTCCGCTGTCACGTGCTCGTAACTCAGACTCCGCCTCATGTTATTGTGGTTTTAATGTGAAATGTTGCTCAGATTGAATGCAGTGTTTGGTCTTCAGGTGGAGGGTGTTTTCTATGTGAATGATCCTCTGGAGAAACTCATGTTTGAGGAGCTGAGAAACGCCTGTCGTGGTGGAGGTGAAGTTACAGCACACACGGTTTTTTTAGTGGACAATTTGTGCAAACAACAATGTATCTTTGGAGTAGAACGTTAGGTTAAGCAAAAAAGGAAAAATATATAGTTATTTAATCAGTAAATAAGTAAAAACAAGGGATTAGGGCTTTTTTGTAAAGCATACTTGTATTATAGCAAGATTAGTGCTGGGCGGTATGACCAAAAATTTATATCACGGTATTTTTCAAAATTATACCGGTTCACGGTACATCACGGTATTTTTTTTTTATGCATAACCGGGTGTTAACCATATTTTCTACTGATTGAGAGGAAATACTGATTCATGATTACCCATACATAAAGATTTAATTCCCGAATGAATCAGCCGTTCAAACGAATCAATTGAATGAATGATTCAGGGATAAAATCAGTGACTTACCGTCACCTGCTGGTGGATTTAGTTTCATTTTTAGCATATAATTTCAGTTATTTAAATCATATTTCTGTATTCAAAATTTTATATTTAAAACATGAATGTATGAATTTAATTGCACTCATGCCACCTCTGAGCCACATTAAACGTCTGAAAATGTACCTACAAGCCACTTTTGTGTTCTTCTGCGCCACCTCTGTAGTACAAATTAATTTATTAATACTAATTTCATATGATTGGTAACTTGTGTCTTATTCTACTACTTATTATATTGCAGGTGTTAAAGCAAAAAAAAATCTTTTGACTGAAAATTTCGCTTCGACCAAACCTCATTCCTCAGCCATACCATAGTTTTTTTTCTTCTTGTAATTAGGAGCGCTTGTCCTCCTAATTAAAAAATTTAGGAGCACCTTCTGATCAATAATCAAAAATTCTGATCTAAAATTAGCCTTCCTAATACGAGACTCCTTAAAGTGACTTACAGGAGTATCTTTGTAATGGCATCATTTTCATCTATTTCAAATTAAAAAATGTATGTTTATAATCTTTTTAAAATTTATATTTAAAACAATATGTAGAATAAGACAAATAAGTTACCAATCATATGAAATTAGTATTAATAAATTAATTTGTACTACAGAGGTGGCGCAGAAGAACACAAAAGTGGCTTGTAGGTACATTTTCAGACGTTTAATGAGGCTCGGAGGTGGCACGAGTGCAATTAAATTAATAAATTCATGTTTTAAATAAAATTTTGAATACAGAAATACGAAATTATACGATAAAAATTAAACTATGTCCGCCAGCAGGTGGCGGCAAGTCACTGATTTTATCACTGATTCATTCATTCAATTGATTCGTTCGAACGACTGAATCATTCAGGAATGAAGCAAGTGACTGTCTTTATGAACTGACGGAAATCCGTCGTAGCGACGGAACTTTAATCCCTGTATTCAGCTCCAATAAATGGTTTGTAAAAAAGAGACACGGGATAAATGTTTGATATCATTATTTAATCACATTGGAATCGAAACTGGGAATAGAAAAGAATCGGAATCGATAAAATTCACACGATACCCAACCCTATTAACGATGTGGCGGCTCACGGTTCGTCTCGTCTGCAGGTGGCGTGGGGTTTGACATTAACTGTGCCGTCCGTCTGCTGAGGACTAACCTGGACGAGGGCGACGTGCAGCCGGTGAAAGAGCAGCTGGCGCAGTCCATGTTTGACCACATTCCCGTCGGAGTCGGATCCAAGGGCGTCATTCCCATGGGAGCAAAGTAAACACCAAAACAACAATAATACTGCACAGCCATCCCAACATTTTCAATTAGAACTTGATTAAAATGAAAACTGAAAATACAACGATGAAAGTCAAATGAATAAAACTTCTTTATTTTTCCAGTCAGTTTATGTTTATGCTCTGAACTTACTTGGCATCAGCGATTAATTGTTTATTGCAAGAAATGAAATGAAGTAATACTTAATCGTTACATGCACTAATATAACAGAACAGTTACCAGTGGAATTTTAATACATGAAATTATTTTGTGAACGATGCAACGAATCATTAAAACATCTTAAAGGAGTAAATATTTGCTTTTAATAAAACTTGGCTGGCTGTGCAGTAGAAAAAAATTTATAAATAAATAAATTGTTAATTGAAAAAGCAGAAATAAAATAAACATTAAATGAAAAATTAGAAATGTTGCCTTGGCAACTAAAATAAGTTTAGGTTGAACTAACTGGAAATAAATAAAACTTAAATGAAATCTAAACATCTAATGTTTTTATAAAAAAAAAAAAATCTAATAAAAGTGACAAAAGCACATCAAATTAATGCTAAACTAATTAAAATAAACGGAAAATATGAGAATAAAAGCGTTCAAAATATTAATACACTATAATAGTAAATAAAAAAAATACTTGTTGCCTTGGCAATTAACTGAAATAAGTTCAAGAAGTTAAAGCGCTAAAATTATTTTAACTGGAAATAAATAAAAATTAAAACTGAACTAGAACAGAAATAATTTTTTTTAACCTAAACAGTAATAAAAATACAAATGGCACATAATTAATTAAATTGATTTAAAATTAAAACTGAAAATACAACAATGAAATCGAATTCAAATTAATAAAACTATAACAGTATAAATAATACTGTAATTATTAAGTTGCAGCGCTAAAATTAACTGGAAATAAATAACTGAAACTGAACTTCAAAGAAAGCAAGCATTTAACCTAATAGTGTGTGTGTGTGTGTGTGTGTGTGTAGATCTGGAGGAAGCTCTGGAGATGGGTGTGGACTGGTCTCTGAGGGAAGGATACGCCTGGGCTGAGGATAAAGAGCACTGTGAGGAATACGGCCGGATGCTGCAAGCCGATCCCAACAAAGTCTCGTCCAAAGCCAAGAAGAGAGGACTGCCACAGGTGCACGCATTTACAAGACCACACAACACAAAGCCCAGCAAATTCTCTCCGAGCTCATGTCATGTTCTCCTGCTGTTGTGTAGTTGGGGACGCTGGGTGCAGGAAACCACTACGCCGAGATTCAGGTGGTGGATGAGATCTATAACGATTACGCTGCGAAGAAGATGGGCATCGACCACAAGGGGCAGATCTGTGTGATGATCCACAGCGGCAGTCGAGGCCTCGGCCACCAGGTGGCGACAGGTGAGCCGCAGCGTCATGCTAGTGTTGTTTTAGTACGGAGATACTATTATAGTTTTCATCTTAGTGTTCCGTTTTCATTTTAACTTTAAAGTTCCATTTTTAAAAATGTTTTTCAGTGTTTATTTTTATTTTCTATGCAATCGCGGCACACAGTGGCCCGGCTAACCAATCGCGGCACACAGTGGCCCGGCTAACCAATCGCGGCACACAGTGGCCCGGCTAACCAATCGCGGCACACAGTGGCCCGGCTAACCAATCGCGGCACACAGTGGCCCGGCTAACCAATCGCGGCACACAGTGGCCCGGCTAACCAATCGCGGCACACAGTGGCCCGGCTAACCAATCGCGGCACACAGTGGCCCGGCTAACCAATCGCGGCACACAGTGGCCCGGCTAACCAATCGCGGCACACAGTGGCCCGGCTAACCAATCGCGGCACACAGTGGCCCGGCTAACCAATCGCGGCACACAGTGGCCCGGCTAACCAATCGCGGCACACAGTGGCCCGGCTAACCAATCGCGGCACACAGTGGCCCGGCTAACCAATCGCGGCACACAGTGGCCCGGCTAACCAATCGCGGCACACAGTGGCCCGGCTAACCAATCGCGGCACACAGTGGCCCGGCTAACCAATCGCGGCACACAGTGGCCCGGCTAACCAATCGCGGCACACAGTGGCCCGGCTAACCAATCGCGGCACACAGTGGCCCGGCTAACCAATCGCGGCACACACTGGCCCGGCTAACCAATCGCGGCACACACTGGCCA